ACTTCAATGCAGTTTGTGTAGGTCCGTAGGTATTTCCCTGTCCATATCGCCGAATCCTGCACCCAGGTCAAAGCTCTGACGTGTGCCGTCCTAACCCAAAAACTGTAACATTAAGCACTTCTCACATGACATGGGTACTTGAAAGACCTGTAACAGATAAGTACCTGAAGACCTTCCTCTCTCTGAAGACTCCTAAACCCTGAACCCTAACCCTAAACCCCAAACCCCTAAGGTAATTAACACTGTTTTAACCCTGAACCCTAAACCCCAAACCCCTAAGGTAATTACCGCTGTTTCCAGGCTTCAGGGTTTAGGCTTTGTGGATGTGTGAGACTGGATTTGTTGCAAGGAACCCCTTCAGTCTCCAGCGCTCTCTTACGCATATTTCCTATATCCCTCACCCTCAAAGGACTCATATTTTAAGGCTTTTGGGCCCAAAGACCCTATTATGTAAGGCTTTTGGGCTATTTTGATGCTAAGGGTATGGGTTCCTCGTCCAAAACGGCTCAGGGGGGCTTTCTTGTGACTTTCGGGGGTTTGGGGTTCTGGGGTCCAAGCCGATTCTTCTGAAGAAGAAACCACCCCTATATCCTAAACCCGGAAACCCTATTTCAAGGCCCAAACCCTCGGAGCCCTTTATCCCCGCAAAACAATCAACAAAAGCCGCAAAGACAAACGTATCACGCTTTGGGCCCTCAGACAAAATCCTATACCCTTGGGTTTAGATATGGGGCTTTCCTTCCTTCTCCAAGGAGAGGTTTCTTGGGGTTGAGGTAGGTTCCAGTTCTGATTCTTTGGGGGTGGATTGCCCATAAGAAGTTTGGGGTATTATATCAGGGTCCCCTATTTTCGGAAACTCCCAACTGGTGGCCATGCATGGCATGGTCAGCTGGTCACATGAGTGGCTTTCGCTCTGCCAAGTACTTGCTGAGCCCGGGCTCCGATCTTTGCAGCTCGACTACCACTCCGACACTGAAGGAGATTGCGACGTCGTTCGGTGTGCAGTGGGATCAGGTTACAACCTTACTGTCACCCTAACTGTAGACACTGCAACCGCTTTGGGATCGATTTTACCAAGGTAGTCACGCACACCTCGCATGATCTGCGACCCCTGAACTCTCCAAAGCTTGCAGCAAGTCTCAAGTTCTGCGGCTCTGAACCTGCTGCCGCTACCCATAGGCCCCTAAGCAGTTCCTTTTTAGGGTTCATATTTAGAATCCTATCAGGTACTCCCAAAAAGGAACTACTTAGGGGCCTATGGGTATAGCCCGAAGGCCGCTCCGCCGGTTTTCCCTGTGCACGTGCACGCATTCCGTGCGGCACGTGCGCGGGGACAACTCGCAGAAAACTGCTGTTCCGATACCCTAAACCCTAAACCAAAAACCATAAACCCTAAACCCGATAACCCTAAACCCTAAACCCTAAACCACAAACTGCGGAGTACCTGGTCGCACGAGTTTCTGTCACACACGGCTGTGCTATGCCAAAGAGGCAAGCTACCTGGTGGCTTCAGTCGGCGACTATGGGCGCGTAATTCCTTTGTCTGGCACGCAACGGACTTTTTTTTGAGTTACTTGTAGTTCCCTTAGCAGCCTCAAACCCCCTACTCCTTCACCACATTTAGCCGGTTTTTGCTCTCTTTTGAAACCCGTGGTTCGATTTCTGGAGGAAAAGGGTACCCTCATCATCGAGGTTTACGGCGTAAGCTTGAGTAGCATCTAAAGATCAAGGATGATTGCGCAAACCCCAAACCCTACAAACCCTAAGCAGCCAAAGTCCTTTAATGCCAACCCTGGTTCTGAATCACAGCCTCCCCAAACCAAACCGTAACCCTATACCCAAATACAGGCCGAAATCCTAGAAAGCCCTACACTTCTAGCAAAAGCCCTTACCCAAAAGCACCACAGCCTTTATAGCCCCAACTAAACAACCCTGCGTTCCAAAACCCCGATAAAGCCTGAACCTTTGGACCCTAAACCCAACCCGAAACATAGTGGAAGGCTTTCCGCCTCCGCGACACGCGTGCTGTCTCCTCGAAGGTGAGGAGACAACCCACCAAGAGGGGTTCAAAAACTTACGTGTTAAATTGATAAGTTTTGTTTCTGGGGTTACAGGCGTCTTATAACAAGTTAAGAGTCCACAGGCTTTTATACCGGGTTTGTCAGGATGTGAGGGGTGCTTGGGGTTTCGGGGCTAATGAGAATGCCCTTATGTTACGTTGACCATACTTCCTACCCAGTCTTATGGCCGAGGAACGGTTTTTATCGAGTGCCTAATACATGTGCCTTTTTCTGTTGCGTTCATAACTGGCAACTGGTGATGATAAACAAGTTTCTCGAAGCCTCAAGTCGAGCTCAGGGGCTCCCTCCAGACCCCTGCGAATAATCTCAAGAACACCGTGGTTTCGGGCTTGGTTTGAGCCCTTATAAGCCCTAAGCCCCTGTACTGGAATGGCATGGAAGGGTCCGCCGAACGAAATAGGGAAAACTAGGATCCACAAATACGAACCTCCAAATATCTAGGATCTAAATAGGACCTGGGTGGCAGAAACGAGTTGCACACAAAAATGCTTTCCAGAGCCTCGGAGGCCTAAACTAAATGGAGGGGTGTGTTGTATAGCACGTGGTATCGGGGCCTTTCCTGTTCCCACGAAGCCTCCGTTTGGGAGGCTCCTCAACATTTTTTCGCTCCCCTAAACTCCCCACCCGCAGTTTCCTTTAACTTGTTCTTGTCAGTACCTGGGATCCCTCTCATGGGTCCGAGGTCCTTGACCACACAGTGGGATTAGACCCTCTTGTGATCGCTATCGAAAAAGCCACTCGACATTGAAACTTTCCTTGCCCCCAAAACATTTTCGTAAGCTTTACCTATAACCGTATAATTACGTAATTATAAAGAGAAGAGATTGAACTTTAAAGTATTCCTTTGGTAGTCCAAGAGAGTAATGAATGATTCCTGCGGCTACGGGTAAGGTGCCGCTGGAAGCGACGTCAGGCATCTCTGGCTTCAAGGCGCTTTGTCCGCTTTCTTGACTTTACCCAGAGGCCGCTAAGTAGTTCCTTCTTTTGGTTTATGTTTAGAATCCTATAAGGTAATCCCAAAAAGGAACTACTTAGAGGCCTATGGGTATACCTAACATGGGGCAGCATCCCCCAGCAAGGGGTTTTTTGAACCCTATAGGAGACGAGTTAGGAAAACCTTAAGCGGAAGAGGTGTTTTGGAACTGGTGGGTCTGATTCTTGGGGTTCTTTGGCGTTCAGGTCTCAGGCGTTTCGCTTCATGGCCTTGCGTCTCAGGCAAGGTGACACAGCACCGAGCCGTCAAGCAGTTGTTCTTGAAGACCTAGGGTAGCCCGTCAACCCGACCCCTATAAACCCTAAACCCTAACCTAGACCTCGACCGCTATAGACCCCAATTCCCCCTAAAACCTCACACAGTCAACCCTGCGCCTCTAAATCGAAAGCCTAAACCCAGAATATCGGTATCCAAGGGGCGACGCCCGTCCTTTTAGAGAAACCGCATATAGAATCCTCAGAAAGTTTTCCTGACCATTATACAGGTTAAAGGCTCGTTGCAAGCGTTCTTCTACGGCTTTCAGTACAGCCCTGAAGATCAATCCCCTTGCGCCGCGCTTCCTTCGTAGGTTTCCAACAGCCCCGAATCTCCAGCCTCAGGGTGCTGACACTATACCGCTACATCCTACAACTTCCTTCCTTGCAGAAGGCATACCTCGGTAGAACTTCGCTCAGAAAGTCCCTTTAGCTTTCAAGCGGGCCCTAAGCCCGACATCTCATCATGCTACAGAGTCCGAGCCCTGCACGCAAAAAAGGCACCGCAGCTCGGTGCTAGGCCTTTCCCCTAAACCTCAAATCCTAAAATCCCTAAACCCCATAACCTCTAAATCCTAAAGGCCCTAAACCCTAAACCCCTAAACCACTAAACCCCTCAACCCCTAAACCCTAACCCCTAAATCCCACAATCCCTAAATCCTATAAACCCCTAAATCCTTAAAGCCCTACATCCTAAAAGCCCCATAAACCCTTCGTCGCCAGGCTTTGCTTTCTGCCATCACCGGGGGCCTCTTGGGGCGGCCGCGGCGCGCAGCCGCCGAGCGCCCCACCGCACTCGCTTTGCAGGAGGTGGAGCTCGGGGGTGTAGGGCAAAAGTGTTAATATTAGATTAGCACTGAAATTATCCATTGGATGAGAGGCGCAGAAGGCGCAGGCAGCGCAGCAGAAACATCAGACACGCTTTCCGCCCACACTCGAATTATCTATATGGTTAGAGTAGAGATTCTATAACTATATAGATAATTACAGTATTAATTTAATACAACTATAATATAGTTAGCCATATTGTACCTAGAATATATAGCTCTAAGATAGCTACAGTATGATTGCAGTATACCTGTTGGTTATTTTGCTAGAGTACTGTTATACATAACTATAAACTATAGTATCAATGTGGGGGTTGGTTCGGGGTTTTTGCGTAGTTTCGTTACTTGGAGATCCTGCTTTCTAGTCATAGGTTTTGAGGCTTTGATAATCCCGAGAGTGTCAGGACCTACAGTACACACGTCGTGAACAAATCTGGGATTTAGGGTATACCCTAAACCCTGAGCTCTAAACCCTAAACCCTAAATAACCCCTAAACCTTAAACCCTATGCTTAAACCCTAAACCCTAAATAAACCCTAAGCCCTAAACCCATAAACCCTAAACCCAGAAACCCTAATAGGGTCATCCCAGACGCTCCGCACAGGCTATGCTGGCGACTCAGACGAGGCTAAAGACTACCAACTCACCACGTCCGAAATTCTGAAATCATTCATACCGTCCTCTGGTGTAGGGTTCAGAGTTTAGGGGTAGCGGGTAGCACAACAAACCCGCATTTTTGGAGCTCCTCATTATGATCCTCTTGTATAGTTCTGCAAAAACGTGGTTTGATTTGGCTACAGGTTGAGTTCAACGTTTCACTGAGACTGTCCTAAGCGCCACCCGCCTTTAAGCAGGAGAGGTCGAAGGCCTTGATGCTTGTGACGGCTTCCACGACCTCAGCTAGGCTTTGCTCTACGACCCTTCATATAGGTGGAACAAACTCCTTTTGAGTGGTTTTCTTTTCACAGTTAGGGTTTAGGGTTTAGGGTTGTCCTCGGGCATTTGGCCCTATGATCTAGCGGTGTCGGGCAAGACCCAGTCGGCTTGGGATCGGGTTGGGGGCTCTGGCTTATGGCCATCGGAATGAGCCAGATCAAGTTTGGGATTTTGGCTCCAAGCAGCATGACCTACTCCTTGACCCGTAAGGGCCCCAAACCCAACACCCTAAACCCAATCAAACGCTGTTATGAAACGCAGGCATTCACTCCTCCGGCATAATGGTAGCTGCGCCGCGATAAAACCCAAACAACATCTGCATACGACCTCGGCACCCACCTGCAGAGCCCTATAAAATAGAGTACATGTGTTTTTGTTTACACGGTTCGGCAGTGATAGAGCGGTTCGGCTTTAGGGTTATCGGTTGTGCTGTGTAGGGTAGTTCCAATTTGGAGTGATTCGGGTCTTAGGCTAATGTTGTGCTGGGTTCGAGGCTTCGGATCAGGCATTCCGGGCTCATATGGACCAGCAACCCTAAACCTTAAACCCGAAATCGAAAGAGTACGCCCACCATCGTCAGGCGCCTGCATCACCCCAAAATGCCACGCCCGGATTGTTTCAAAGCCGGGCACTGTAGTACATTGTAGTAAATGTGATGGCACATTATTGAATATTGTAGTAAAGTGTAGTATAGCATACATGTAATATATAATATGTTATTGTATGCTAGGCCCCAAATTTCAAAACTCCCGGCAATGATTCGAGGCCTATATTCATAGTTCAGGCTTCTGGGACCAGGCTGTACCCAACGGTTACTGAGTGGGGGCAGTATCCACGGTTTAGGGCTGAAGAAAGTTAGGGTCAGTTTTTTGGTCCCCAAAATGGTACGGCATGCTTATAAAAAGGACCCGAACCGGGACCCTGATTTAGAGAACTACCCATATGAAAGAGCGACAATCTATGCCCGAGTACTGACACTGAAGCTCCTCGATTAAACTCCCACCCCAACCGCTAAACCCCAAAACACCTAAAGTCCTATCCTCAAAGCCCCTCGGGTCAACCAACATGGACCCCCTAGAACTGCCCCTCAAAGGAACTTTTCAAAGGAACCCTAGTACCCTAAACCCTAGATCCTAAACCCTAAGCCCCTAAACCCCTTAACTCTAAACCCCTAAACCCTAAACCCCTAAACCCTGCTAGTCTAAGTAGACAGCCTCCAGTCTGCAAAACATCCGAGCTGCAGCGATGCGAACTCTTGGATCGGGATCCGCCATGTACGGCGCGAGGCTCTTCGCCTTTGTCATGGGTTTCGGGTTTAAGGGTTTAGGGCTCTGAGGGTTTCAGCTTGTGTATGATACCAGAACTGTATCATCTCATATGCTATGACAAGAAGATATGGTATGATAGCGAGTTGATAGGCTATGATAGGGTACTGTTAGGATATGATAGGATGTTGAACTGGAAGAGGCTCTAAGAACTGAAAGAGGCTCTAAGGCGATCCCATTACCTACGCCCCTCAACCGTGCACCCGGATCCCGAAGCCTGCATGAACCCCCAAAGGCCCACAGCCCCAAAACCTTTCAGAGATCCTTCCTTGCAGAACCCGTAAAGAAACAAGTCACTCTACTTCTTCTAGAACCCCTTTAGGGTTTAGGGTTTACGGTTTAAGGGATCTAGGGTTTAGGGTTTAGAGTTTAACTCAAGGAGCCCTTAAAGGAGCCCTTAAAGGAACCCTTAAAGGAGCCCTTAACGGAACCCAAGGTGCATGGCGGCCAATGGCGACTCGCTCGTCCTCCCCAGAGGCAGGATCGTCGGGATCCCGGGCGGCCTGATCCTGTGTTTAGGCTTTTGGGTTAAAAGGCTTATAGGGTTTAGGGTTAGAGGGTTTAGGGATGTTTAGGGCTTAGTTTAGGGTTTATAGGGTTTTGGGTTAGAAGGTTTAGGGTTAGAGGGTTCAGGGTTTAGGGCTTATAGGGTTGACATAGAAGCCTAACGTAATCACCAACACTACTCCTCAGGGTTCCTTAAGATACTTATACTATGATGCCCCAAAGCCCTATTTTAATACGGCCCCTATTTTTAAAATTTTGTTTACAGGTTCTAGTAGTGTTTCGTAAAGGGGCACTGCGGGGAGCTATTATCATAAGGGTCTCACAATGCATGTTTAGAGAGCTTTATAATCACGCTTGCGTAGGGGTTTAGGCTTGCAGGGTTTGAGGTGTAGCGTCAGGGGTATGACCAGCGCATTCATGAGTATATACTGATGGCCATGAACTAAAGTCAATAGCAAAGCAGTACATTAAAAGACGTATCAGTACCGAAACTTTTGTTAGAAGCCTGCAAAAGGGGATGGGCAACCATTGGAAATCGTGTCCCCCGGCACGAAACCCAAAACCCTAAACCCTCCCCGCCTCCTCCTGATCTCTCATGAGCTTGTTCCGATGATCAACCAACGCATGCAGCAGCGATCGCAGCTCGCGCACCACCTGCCGGGGTCAGGATTCTAGCTAGGCAGCTAGGCTCATACCCGACCCCTTTTGGGGGCGACCTACTTCTCTATATTAAAAGATCCCAGCCATAGAACCAGGTATCCGCCCAAAGGGGGTAGGGTATGACCCTCCAGGTGGATGGCAATCCCAAAACAACCCCAATGTATGTATGTGAAAATGCATACATGCATACATGCATGCATACATGCATGTATGTGTGTATATATATATATAAATATAAATATAAATACATATACATACATATACATACATATATATATATATGTGTGTGTGAACTGTCTTTACCTGAGTCGTTTTTGATACTACTACGAACATTTTGATTGTAAAGATGATATTGGTGTTACTACTATTCGTACTATACATATATATATATATCCAACACATACTAACGATATTCGGAACCTCCAGCCGCAACTCCGCGTTGTCGGCATCCAGTGCAGACGTGAGATCTTGACATCGGGAGGTGGTGTGCCTCAGACAGCATTTGCAGTGTGGGGGCTGGGGGTACCCTAAACCCTAAACCCCTAGCAACCCTAAACCCCTAAACCCTACACCCCTAAACCCTAAAATCTTAATACCTAAAACCCTAAACCCCAATACCTAAACCCAAAACCCTGAAAGGGTCGCAGCTGGGAAATACGAGAGATTGGCTTGGCGAAGGGAAGCGGCTTGGGCTGAAACAAGGGGTTTGCTTCGGGTGCTGCAGACCTTCAAAGGTTTCCAGTTTAGGGCCTATATAGGCTTTAGGGCTTACCTAAACCCCCAAGAGTAGGTAAAATAATGGCCCAAAACCTACAAAAGGCTATTATTCTACATACTTTTGGGGTCCAGGTAGGGCTTGTTGTTTAGGGCTCTAGGGTTTCAGGGCTTCGGGTTTTAGGGCCTAGGCTTTTAGGGCTTGGGGTTTAGGGTTTTCAGGGCCTAGGACCCTCAGGGTCTGTAGGGTTTTAGGCTTTAGGGCTTGGGGTTTAGGGTCCCTAACCCCAAACCGTAATATTTGCGAATTTGTAGCTTGAAGCTTCATAGGGTGAAAGCATCTATGACGCGGGGCCTTCTTGAGGTTCACTGTGCCATAAAAATATGCCCCAAAAGTCCAGAGGGTTTAGGGTTTGGGGGTCTGCGGAATTTTTGAGCTTCCAAAACACTCAAGGGTCAGAGCGTCATCAATGGCATGGCCTACTTACTCCAAACCAAATAGAGAGCCTCTGCAAGAATAGTGTTCCTGGCAATTGAGACGCCGTTCCCTAGGAAAACATGCATGAACGTGGATCCCGAAGTAGCTTTTTAGCAAGTACCCATAGGCCATAGGCTCCATTGTAGCTCCGTTTTGGGGAATACCTTATAGGATCCTACATATAAACCACAAAAAGGAACTACAAACCCTAACCTTAAACCCTCGGAACTACAAAAGAGCCTTTCGGTAGGTACACGGAGCCAAGAGGTCAGTTCTTCCGCTTGCAAGTGGGGTTCAATGAAGGGGCCACCGTGCAGCCTGCATGGCTCAGACGTCGGCAGGAACTCAGGGGCTAACGCGCTGCCCGTTCAGCGTCTGCTTCTGCGGCCTCGCCTTTGGCCAACAGCAAGGCTGGGCAAGCTGGCTGTCCACCTCGCGAAAACATAGCCACATCAGTCCAGGCACGCGATTTCTTTGCCAGAAAGCGTTCCCGATGTGCGGCATCTCAGTCATCGTCCGCACGTGTGCGGGTCTTCTGACCCACGCTGTCGCGCAACATGGCTGCTGCTGCTACTAATGATGCTGCTGCTGCTGCTGCTGCTGCTGCTGTGTAAGGGTTTTGTGGGCAGGGTTTTACAACAGGCTCAACGTGTTTAGGGAGTTTAGGGTTTTGGGGTTCAGGGTCGAGGGTTTAGGGTTTAGGCAGGAACCCCCGGACATAAACAGTTTCAGAAGCTCGTGAAGGAAATGCGTCTATAGGCTGCTAGAGAAACCCTAAATCCTAAACTCTGTAGGTTTTCATCGCTCTCAACGCTGAATCCTTCACCCTCAACTACCTCCAAACCCCCTTAACCTGCAACTCTCAGCTCCCCTACTAAACCCTATAAACCCTATTAGGGTTTAGGATTTAGGGTTTAGGGTTATAAACCCTAAACCCTCAACTAGAAACCCTATAAACTCCCAGACCCAGGCCTCCAACCCTTAGCACTTTGCCAAAGCTGCTGGAGCAGGGCCCTGCTAATGGCCTGGCTGTGCACCCCGCCCGTTTCTGCCTGGGCAAAGGGTAGGGTTTAGGATTAGGGTATAGGGTTTATGGGCCGTGGGGTAGAAGGCAAAAAGCCGACTAAAGTTGTTGACTCCTGATTCATAACCCGCTGCATTTGGGATCCCTAGAAAGAACCCCCTGTTATGGAGACTGTGTTTCTTTAAGTGCCCTGATATTGCGATCTCCATGATACCTCTGAGGGTAACGGGATTCGATAATAATAATCAAGGGTCGACATTACGGTTTGTCTTTCAGGTGTGGCTCTCCACTGGGCAGCCAAAGCCGAAGCACTAACTAGCAACGAGCAGAAACCGACGAAACAGGGTCATAACAATCGAAACTACGAGTAATCACGCGTACTCACGATGTGCTTCTTTTGGCTGGCGGCGCTAAAAGCAGGCAATAAGTGCAGCATGGCACTGCAAGCGACGGATACGGGATCCATGGGGCAAACAACCTTCTCATCAAAGGTTTTGTCCACAATTCCCATTCTTTCTGCGCAGAAATCCTCATGGGCTTTACCCGTCTAAGTAAGCTCCTGCATAATCTGCATACTCAAAGCAAGGCCTCATCCAAAGCTCGAACGAAGTCGATGCATCGTCGCCGCTCTGCCCGGTTCGGTGAGAACATGGCCAACACCTCGCCGGCGGGAGGTACCAAAAAGGGGAGGGGCCTCAATAACTAAAATACTTAGCCATTTTTGGTGGAGGGGGGTATAAGTATAATCTAACCAAAATCAATACATGTAACTGAAAGAGGATATGACAAGCCAATACTCATATCTCCATATTACGCAGATTCTTCTCCTGATTCCAAAATCGACAAACTCAATACCTCATTTTTGTATCCGTGATGCGCCATCTGTATACAGATAACAATCGTGTCTCGAAAAAGCGATATTTGTTTGTTGTTACCGTGCCAGTTAGTTGATATTGGGCTACGCGGAAGAGGGAACATCACCAATGAACCAACAAGTGGCAAGCTCATATTCGTGCACATGGTTCTGCAAACATCTGGCATCAAGACGATGTCTATAATGGCGATGGTGATGGTGATTTTGAAGGTGAAGACGGCCATAATGAAGTTGACCGTGATTGTCGCGCTGAAGAAGAACTTGACAATGATGTTCATGCTGAGGATGCTGACAGTCCAGTCTTATTTTGGCCTGACTAATCACAGATACGAATTTCGTTTCGGGGTATACTGAGTATACTATGGTACATACTCATACAGGCATGGAAAAAGAGTCACATTATTACCAATTAACTCCGAACTCGTATCCGATGCCTCGTTGGCACCCTTCTGGGCATCTGCGTTAGCCTTGCCGGCGATAAGCGTCTGCACCACCTTCAGGGATTTCGGGTGCAGCTGCTCGAAGAATCAGGGGACTCTGCCTGTGTAGATATGCGTACCTTCGTTAGCGCTAGATTTTCACTTCTAATCCCTAGTTAAAGTACCTGACTGTAGTTAGCTAGGGTTATTTATAAGTTTCCCTAAGCCCCAAAACCCCTGATCAGTCATGACCCTATACGGCCTATACGTCCCAAGACCCTATAAGCAGCGCAGCCAGGGATCCTACAGGATCGTCACATCTGGGGTCCTCTGAGATTACGCTCCAGGGCTTAGGGTTTAGGGTTTGTGGCTTCGGGATGAAGTTCGAGGCGTTTTTGGCCGTAAACCTGAAGGCCCCAAGGATTGAAAGGACAGAAGCGCGCAAGCTCGAGCGCAAGCGCGAAGACTCTGGCTTAAAGGGCATCCGTAAAGGTTCCATTATACCCTGGACTTACAAGGCATCTATTTGTGTTTCGACGGAAATATGTTCAAGAGAACCTTCCGTGTGTGCTTCCATGCATGTTGGTGATTAAGGTTTTCGTGGCTAACTTGCGCTGTGGCAGATAACGACAGCTGGGGGCTTGATTGAGGCAGCCTTCCGGTTGGGGACGAGTGTGAGGGAGCATCGGGCTGTCTAGCCGCAAGGTCAGAGTTATCAACCGCAAACCCTTCGTCTCGTTTTACGATTTAATTAAGTTCGTCCTTACCCGGGTCTGCGCCCGTAGGATCATGTAAATACTGTTGATGATATAAATCTTGCATTACCTTAAGGACTCTAAACTATGGGAGTTAAAGTAGATTCCCTATTATGGGCAATGCAGGATTTATATCATCAACCGTATGAGCGGGCGAGCCCGGAACCCTGAACCCTCAACATAGCCCATTTATCCTACACACTGCGTTGCTAGCCCGTGGGGACCTAATCAACACACAGCTAAAGGAACAGTAGCCCTAACCCTAAACCCTGAACCCTAAGCCAGCTCGGCGGCGTTGCCGGCAAGATCGAGGCCTTAAAGATTAGACCAGGGCTTTGGTAGACTATGGTATCGTATATAACAGTATTACAGATATTATTAAAAATGCAGTTTCTACAAAAAACCCTGTTATGGTATAGTAATTTACAATATTACAGATAGTGTATAAGAAAGCCTCAGGAAACAACGCTGGCAATTATTCAGGCACCCTGAATCCTGCACGCAAGGGCGTCTTCATCTGAAGCCCCTGCAGGGGGTCTCCCCATAGGCCCCTAAGTAGTTCCTTTTTATGGTTTTATTTAAAATCCTATAGTTCCTTTTTATGGTTCATATTTAGAACCCTATAGGGTAATCCCAAAAAGGAACGACTTAGGGGCCTATGGGTCTTCAGCGGCGCCTCCTCATGGCCGTTGCCGGCAGCGTACGTGAGGGGTCGGATCCCCAGCGTGTCCGGGATGTTCGGGTCAGCATCCAGCTCCTTGCATGAAGCCCCAAAAGCACAGAACCCCCAACCATGAACCCTAAACCCTATTATAAAGCCTAAACCCTAAAAGCCCTAAACCTTAAAACCTTAAAACCCTAAAGCCCTAAACCGTCTTCCACTCTTCTTGATTCAGGTCGCCAGCGCCCGGCGAACCGCGCCCATGTCGCCTCGACGTGCCAGCGTGAAGATGGCCTGGAATGACAGCTGCATACAATCAGACGATTTAGGGGTTTAGGGTTTAGCGTTTGTATGGTTTAGGGTATCTAGGGGTTTTAGGGTTTTGGGTTTGGGTTTAGGGCTTTAGCGGTTTAGAGTGCCAGGACCCTCCTCGTACCCTCATATAAGGGTATATGGTCCCAAATAATGGGTACTTTGGGGTCTAATAGAGGGAAGATGGAGGGTCTATAGGGAAACCCCTGAACTTCTGAACAAAATTGAATTTGGCACAGGATCCCCGATTCCACTGGAAACCTAAGCCCAGGCACCGCCCATGAGAGGCGTTATCACGTATAGCAGTATAGCACCAGCAAGTGTAAGCAAAAGTCGTGGCAACTGCCTTGTAGCACTTGGCCATGATTCAATTGTTTGCTACATCTTCCGTTCTACTTTTTGCGGCATCTTCGCATTGCGCAGTGTACAGTGCCAGTGTAACGCGGAGTCCGCGCAATCGATCTGGCAGGGGCGAAGGTGCAGGGGCATAATCGTCACTACAGACGTCGCGCAATGCCTAGTAGGGGCAGTGACTTGTGTGCAAAGCCGTCGCTGTGTTAGATGTACTGATGAATATGGACCCTGAACCCTCAGGTCTTGAGACAAAAACAGGAAAATGGTAACACGGCTGGCCTCGAAACTTGAAACCCTCCATTTTGAAAGTTGAACCCGGCACCGGTTAGAGACCTCAACTACGAGGGTCCCAAATCTCAAAGGAACCTCTAAGCAAGCCAGTATGGTGGTCTTCATCCCCATGCAACCCCTGTATCATCTCAGCACAACAGCCCGAAACCTATGTATTCGCACTAGTCAAGCCCCTATAAACCCTACCCATAGGCCCCTAAGTAGATCCTTTTTGGGATTACCTTATAGGATACTAAATATAAACCATAAAAAGGAACTACTTAGGGGCCTATGGGTACACCGTAGACCAGCGCTTATGCTAAGACATGCCCGGCTCTATTGACCCGGCGGCCTGTGATCCGAGCATGGCTTTGACGACGCGGTTGAGCGCCTGCCGGGTTTGGGGTTCTTGAGTAAGGCTTTACTTTAACCCCTAAAAGTAGGTAGCCTAATGGCCCAAAGCCTACAAAGGGCTACTATTCTATAAACTTTTGGGGTCCAGGTAGGGTTTAGGAATACGTTTTTTCGTCTTCGAAACCGCTCTTCATCTTGAGTTAGATAGTTTGGGCCGGTGCCAAAAGCAAAACTCGGCAATGGAAACACTTGAGCTATGCTTGAAGCTCGTGGAAACTCACGATCCAAACACCTGAATTCTGCTGTTCACAGCTCCCAACCGACAGAAAACTAGTTACAAGGATACTCCAAAGATCATGTTTGCAAAGCTGTTTCGGATTCATGATCGATGGCGTTAGCGTTTAGTGCTTACGGTGTTTTAGGGTTCATGGGCTCTTATCCTACTACTCGAACCGCTGACCAACGATTGCCCTCTGAGATCCTATAGGAGCATACGTTATTGGTATAAGCATAAACCCCAAACCAAAAACCCCAAAAAATACAAATAGTAATGGCCCAACACCCATAAAACGCTGATTACCATTATTCTACATACTTTCCGGGGTCCAGGTACGGTTTAGGGGATTGTCCAGGTACGGTTTAGGGGATTGGGGCTTGCCTGGGGCCCACTGCGCCCGTCCCGGCTCTGGAAGTTGGCGATCTCTCCCATGATCCTTAAGCGCATTATGGGTGGGCATGAGGTCAAAGAACCAGAGAGAAAAACACTAGGGTTTAGGGTTTAGGGGTGCTTCATGCAAGACTTGGGTGTGGGAGCTGGAAAGAATCGGACTAAACTTGCGAGTAAAGCCCCGTAGGTTATGTCGCATTATGATTCCTTGAAGCTGGCAGTCGCGCGTACTTAGTTGGGTTCGGTCTCAGGTTTTAAACATCTTCTCTCAAAAACCTCAGGGTTAAGGTCACTACACTGCCATGCCGCTGCAGAAAAAAAGACAGCCAAAGACCCAACACCCCAAACCCCCCTAAACCCTTTACCCTAAATAAACCCAAGTCCGCTTTCCGCTAGCACCTTAGAGGATCAGGGGACCGACTTAGCAGATGTGAGCCTCCACTACCCCTTCATCAGGGAATATACCTTCGAGGACAAATATGTTTCAATTACTCAACCCTAAACCCTGAATCCGGAAGTTTCGGGTTCAGGGTTTAAGTTTAGGGTTGAGTAGTAAGTGTCCCTCCATAACTTGCAGCATCTAATTAAAGGAGATACCCTAAAGCATCATAGAGAGTCCCCTATATTCTCGGCGGTAGATGTTCCTTGCCTACGTGGTGCGGACGGTTCTGGACTCCACGGCAAGATCCTAGGCAAACCTGCGGAGTTTCGAACTCACAAACAATCGTTTCTTGGTTTTAAAGAATTTATTTAGTGTCAGGGACCTAAACCACGAGAACAAGGATTCAACCATAAACATCATGTAACGACATACAGACACAAAATGAGGCGAGTACTAGTTAACATTCAGATCGACGTCTATACTATACTCAACCACGAGATCGCCACAACACCGGCAACAAAAAATCATTTTGTGCACCGTCCCCGCCCTGAAAAATGCAAACAAGAACAAATCTCATTTAAGCTCGCGAAGAATCGGAGCCTC